CGAAGTATAGGGAGGAAAGATGGGTTAAATAAATCAAACCAGCACGAACACGTGGTAATGGTTTTAAATTAGACAAACTTAGGTTTTAAGAGAAATGCGTAAATTGGTTTGGAAATAGAGTTGTTGATGAGTGGAGCAAATTACCAAACATCATCATTTACTTACTCGATTTCGTTGGTAAACTTCAAATATAGGTTGACAGTTATTGTATAAGGAGTGATAAAGGTAGATGTACACGGTCTCCCTTAGTGGGGCTGCAGTTTCCTTCATTCTTATGTTCTTATCCGCAAAGGGTTAATCCATAGTCCTCAAACGGTTAAACCATCTTCAAGGGTTAACTATCCTCCAATAGCATTTATTTAATAGCTGCTTATAATTATGATGTCGTATTCTAGTACTGTAGTTTAAGTTTTGTTTATTTAAAGTTTCATTTCTCGTTTCCTAAAGTTTCATGTTATATAAGTGTTTGACAAATTGATTTTTTTTCGTGTTTTTAAGTTTGTTTCATGAATAAGTTTAATTTCATGAATATTTATGTTTGTTACATATATTTTAAGTTGCATGCACACTACTATAACTTACCCATAATTAGATATAATTTGATATAATTCTATATTTTAACTTGAGTTATCAAGTTACAGTCGATATAAGCTGCATACATTTTTATTTAATTCCATTTTATTTTTACCTGTAATTAGTGTACTGTATGTATCTTAAGCCCAACACACAGATATAGTTCCTACCACAGATATTAATACACCCCCATCTTTCCACCCCTTTAGAGTGTGGGGTGCCTACTATGATGGCAGCCTGAGGGGAGAATAGTGAACAGCACCAGTGCCAAGTTCGGGAGTGGTGGCAGGTGTCAGTAAGGAGGACCAGCTTCTTCGGGTTCTGTCGACCCATAGGTGTGGCGGAGCCCTCCCGAACAAGTAAGTGGTCGCTACCGCCGCCCACTGTGTTGATAAGTAAGTACTGTTTCTTCTTCCTTCCTTCCTTCCTTCCTTCATTCTCTCCTTTCCTTTCTTCATCTTTCTCCATCCTTTCTTCCTTCCTTCCTCCTATCCATACCTTCCTCCTTCCTTCCTTTCCTCCTTCTTCCTTCCCTCTTTCCTTCCTTCCATCCTTCCTTCCTTCCCCGTCTCCATCCTCCCCTCCCTCCCCTCCCTCCCTCCCCTCCCTCCCTCCCCCTCTCCCCTCCCTCCTTCCCTCCCTCCCTCCCCTCCCCTCCTCCTCCTCCTCCTTTCCTTCCTTCCTTCCTTCCTTCCTTCCTTGTAGGTGATTGTGTTTTTAGTTTGTCACTGTGTACCGTAGGTATTTCTTCGTCTTGTTTCGTTCTTTTTTCTTTTTACTTCGTTCTTTTCTTCATTCTTTCTTTCTTTCTTTCTTCATAGGTCAGTACTGAAATAATCGACCAACAGTAATCCAAACAATCCATTTTATACCAATGTTATTGCTTTCCTAACCCTCCCCTCCTCGTTCGTGCAACACAGTCTGCTGACGTCACAAATCCGGATCGCGTGGGAGAGTATGACCTCTCGTCCGTGATGGAGCCGTCCCGTATGTGGAGAGGGCGGTGAAGCGCAAGGCCGTCCACCCCCAAGTACAACTTCTTCACCTACGAGTACGACTTGGCGCTGGTGCAGATGGAGTCACCCTGGAGTTCCTGCCCCATATCTCTCCTATCTGTCTCCCGCAACAACGACCTGTTGATAGGAGAGAGAGAGGCACTGTCACGGGCTGGGACGATTATCTGAACACGGACGACTACCCTCCATCCTCCAGAAGGTGAGGTCGGGCTTCTGTAGGAGAGGTCATGGGTGGTCATGCATTTCCTCCATCTCCTGAACATCCTATATTCCCTGATGTTAACTCTCTGCCATAGCCCTCATGATCAACAGCTTCTATACTCCCCATAAATATCACCTCCCATACTTCCCATGATCACCACTACCATACTCCCATTATCACCACCTCTACCTCCCATGATCACCACCTCCCCACACCACCATAATCACCACCTCCCACACCACCATAATCACCACCTCCCACACCACCTAATCACCACCTACCATACCCCAATAATCACCACCCCACACCACCATAATCACCACCTCACCATACCCCACCATAATCACCACCTCCCACACACCACCATAATCACCACCTCCCACACCACCATAATCACCACCTCCCACACCACCATATCACTCACCTACCATACCCCACCATAATCACCACCTCCCACACCACCATATCACACCTCCATACCCCACCATAATCACCACCTCCCACACCACCATAATCACCACACCCCACACCACCCATAATCACCTCACCACCATACCCCCACCATAATCACCACCTCCCCACACACACCATAATCACCACCCCACACCACCATAATCACCACCTACCATACCCCACCATAATCACACCTCCCACACCACCATAATCACCACACCTACCCATACCCCCACAATCAACACCACCACCTCCCACACCACCATAATCACCACCTCCACACACACCACCATAATCACCACCACCATACCCCCACCATAATCACCACCTCCCACACACCACCATAATCACCACCTCCCACACACCACATAATCACCACCCACCACATACCCCCACCATAATCACCACCTCCCACACCACCATAATCACCACCTACCATACCCCCCACCATAATCACCACCCTCCCCACACCACCATAATCACCACCTACCAACCCCCAAACATCAACCACCTCCACACCACCATAATCACCACCCACCATACCCCCACCATAATCACCACCTCCCACACCACCATAATCACCACCTACCATACCCCCACCATAATCACCACCTCCCACACCACCATAATCACCACCTCCCACACCACCATAATCATCACTCACCATACCCCCACCATATCACCACCTCCCACACCACCATAATCACCACCTCCCCACACCACCATAATCACCACCTCCACCATACCACCACCATAATCACCACCTCCCACACCACCATAATCACCACCTACCATCCCCCAACACACCATACCACCTCACACCACCATAATCACCACCTCCCCACACCACCATAATCATCATCACCTACCATACCCCCACCATAATCACCACCTCCACACCACCATAATCACCACCTCCCCACACCACCATAATCACCACCTCACCATACCCCCACCATAATACCCCTGATGTTCCTCCTGCAGGGTCGGTGCCCATCGTGAGACAACAGCAAGTGTAAAGACATGTTCCTGAAGGGCGGGCGTCAGGAGCACATCCCTGAGATCTTCCTGTGTGCTGGCTATGAGAAGGAGGCATAGACTTGCCAGGTGAGTGAGTCTCCACCTCTACCTCCTCCTGATGGGGTTGGGGAGTCTCAAAGTGTATAATAATGGGGAGACTATCTTATGATGGGAAGTCTTTACATGTATAGGAGGAGTCTTTACCTGTATAATGGAGGAGTCTTTTACCTGTATAATCGGGAGTCTTTACTCATATAATGGGGAGTCTTTACCTGTATAATGGGGAGTGTTTACCTGTATAATGGGGAGTGTTTACCTGTATAATGGGGAGTGTTTACCTGTATAATGGAGGAGACTTTACCTGTGTAATGGGGAGACTTTACCTGTATAATGAGGAGTCTTTACCTGTATAATTGGGGAGTCTTTACTTGTATAATGGAGGAGACTTTACCTGTATAATGATGGAGTCTTTACCTGTATAATGGGGAGTCTTACCTGTATAATGAGGAGTCTTTACCTGTATAATTGGGGAGTCTTTACTTGTATAATGGAGGAGACTTTACCTTTGTAATGGAGGAGTCTTTACCTGTATAATGGGGAGTCTTTACCTGTATAATGAGGAGTCTTTACCTGTATAATTGGGACTCTTTACTTGTATAATGGAGGAGACTTTACCTTTGTAATGGAGAGAGTCTTACCTGTATAATGATGGAGTCTTTACCTGTATAATGATGGAGTCTTTACCTGTATAATGATGGAGTCTTTACCTGTATAATGGGGAGTCTTTACCTGTATAATGGGAGACTTTTACCTGTATAATGGGGAGTCTTTACCTGTATAATGATGGAGTCTTTACCTGTATAATGGGGGACTTTACCCGTATAATAGAATTTTTACCTGTATAAGGGGAATCTTTGTTTTCTTCCTTCTCCCTTCTCTCCCTGTCGTCTCTCCTCCCCCTCCCCCTCCCTCCCTCCTCCCTCCCTCCCTCCCCAGCCCCTAGCAGTGCCACCTCGGGGTAATTTTCCCCTGGGTGACACAGGTGAGTGGCAGCCCTACACGACACCTCTCTCATATCTCTCTATTCTCTGTTTCTCCCCTCTCTCTCTTTTGCTCTCTCTCTCTATCTCTCTGTTCTCTCTCCAGTGTTTTATTTCTTTTGGTTTTATGTTAGCATTGTATAGGTGATATTAAACACACACACACACACACACACACACACATTACGACACACACACACACACACACACACACACACACACACACACACACACACACACACACACACACACACACACACACACACACACACACACACACACACACACACACACTGAGGGTTTGTTGACAATTGTTGAAGTTGACTTGTAACGAATGTGATGATGAAGCTACCACCTGTCTTCCTTCCCTTTCTCTCTTATTCTCCTCTTCTTTACCCCTTGACCTCCTCCCTCCTCCTCTTGACCTTCTTACTCCCTCTCTCATCTACTGTCTTCCCTCCTCCTCATCCTTCTCCTGACTCCCCTTCCTCCCTCACACCTCTCCTCCTCTTCCTATCCCTATCCCTCCCCTTCACTCTATTAGGTTTGTTTCAGGTTTGGTTAGGTTAGGTTAGGTTAGGTTACCATTCAATTTGGTTTGGTTAGCATTAGGTTTGGTTTGTTAGCATTAGGTTAGGGTTTGGTCAGCATTATTAGGCTCTTGGCTCTTCCCTGGCCAGCATCAGGTCAGGCCCAATGTGCCACCAGGCCAGGCCCGGCCGTAGCCACCAGGCCAGGGCCCGGCCAGCACCAGGCCAGCCCGCACGCAACAGGCCAGGGCCCACCGTGCCACCCAGGCCCAGCCCCGGGTCAGCACAGGCGTCAGACTGGCTGTGCCACCAGGTCAGGCCCTGTCAGCACCAGGCCAGGCCTGGTCACCCACCACCTGGCCTGCCCAGCACAGGCCAGGCCCACCAGCCACCACAGGCCAGGCCTGGCCAGCACAGCCAGGCCTGCACCGTGCCACCAGGCCAGGCCTGGCCAGCACAGGCCAGGCCTGGCTTAACAGGCCAGGCCCGGGTCCGCCACCAGGTCAGGCCTGACCGTGCCACCAGGCCTGGGCCTGGCCAGCACAGGCCAGGACTGGCCACACCAGGCCAGGCCTGGCCAGCACCAGGTCAGGCCTGGCCACCACCAGGCCTACCTGGCCAGCACTGGCGGTCAGGCCTTGCCAGCACTCAGGCCAGGCCTGGCCAGCGCCTGTGCCAGGGCCTGGCCTGGGTACTAGGCCTTGGCCTGGCCTGCACAGGCCTGGCCTGGGCTGTGCTACCAGGCCTGGCCTGCCAGCACAGGCCAGGCCTGGGCTGTGCCCACCAGGCCAGGGGCCTGGCTGTAGCACAGGCCAGGCCTGGGCCGCTACTGGTGTCAGGGCCTGGCCAGCACCAGGTCAGGCCAGCACCAGGCCAGGCCTGGGCTGCACCAGGCCTGGCCTCCAACGCCACCAGGCCTGGCCTGGGCCCACCAGGCCCGGCTCCGGGCCAGCCTCAGGCCAGGCCTGCCAGCACAGGCCGTGGCCTGCCAGCACCAGGCCAGGCCTGGCCCGCCCCGTGCCTGGGCCCAAACGTTAACAGGTCAGGCCTGGTCCCAGCACAGGCCAGGCCTGGCCAGCACAGGCCAGGCCTCGGCCAGACCAGGCCACCCCGGCCTGCACCAGGCTCAGGCCTGCGCCACCACCAGGCCATGCCAGCCATTAGGTTAGGGTTTGGTTAGCATTAGGTTAGCTAGCATTAGGTTAGGTTTGGTTAGCATTAGTTTGGCTTGGTCAGCATTAGGTTTGGTTTGGTCAGCATTAGGTTTGGTTTGGTTAGCTTTAGGTTAGGCTTGTTAGCATTAGGTTAGGGTTTACATTACAGGTTAGGTTTGGTTAGCTTTAGGTTAGGTTTGGTCAGCATTAGGTTAGGTTTGGTTAGCATTAGGTTAGGTTTGTTAGCATTAGGTTTGGTCCGGTTAGCTTTAGGTTAGGTTTGTTAGCATTAGGTTCGGTTTGGTTAGCATTAGGTTTGGTTTGGTTAGCTTTAGGTTAGGTTTGGTCAGCATTAGGTTAGGTTTGTTAGCATTAGGTTAGGTTTGCTAGCATTAGGTTTGGTTTGGTTACATTAGGGTTAGGCTTGGTTAGCATTAGGTTAGGGTTAGCATTAGGTTGGTTTGGTAGCATTAGGTTTGGTTTGGTTAGCATTAGGTTAGGTTTGGTTAGCATTAGGTTTGGTTTGGTCAGCATTAGGTTTGGTTTGTTAGCATTAGGTTAGGTTATAAACTGGTGTGCCTAATTTTCAGGTGTTACCACAGTGCCCTTTTTGTACTTGTTATACTGGCTCGGAAAAAACAGAGAGAAGTGTGGGGATAACTCTAGTACCCTGACGCTTTCCCCTGTACAGTTGTGTGTGTTATTACTGATTCACGTCTCACACTTTCCTCTCACCAGTTGATCATACACAGCCCGTCTCCTCTCCCTACCTATCACGCTTCCTTCCTCCTTCTCCGCTCCTTTCCCCCAACATCTCTCATCTCCATCCTTCAACCTCCCTCTCTCAACATACCCCCCCTTCACCTTAACTCTCCCCTACCCTTACTTCCCCTCTAGCCTCCCTCTCGCCTGCTCACTGTCGCATCACTGTACGTAAACGCCTAATTTCACCGCCTGAGATGTAGTGACCATACCATTCATCTTGTCATGGAGCGTGTCAGAGGGGGTGCACAGGGCGGCCTGCCCCTTTCTCTCCCGCCACCACCTGCAACAGCTTTCTCGCGCCTGTTGACTATCAGCTAATTCCCGCCACCACTATTGTTTTGGTTCTCTGGCCCATAAAATGATGCGTGTGGTGTCTCTAGATGTGTTTGTAGGAGATCAACACTACACTCCTGGGTTTTTCTTCAGATTATTTTCGGTGAGATGCCACGCAAACCCTCTCGTTACCTGCCTGATGACACTTATTATCTGAACGCGCTGGACTTGATACTCACACAGTTACAAATTAACTTTTTTTTCCTTAATTGGGGATATAAAAACACAAATTTACGGTAGTTTCACCTAGATGTCGACGCCATTTTGAACCCGGATTGAATAGACGTGTCCAAGTTAGTTGTGTTGTCACGTCACCAGGGAGAAAGAGGAGGAGGAGAAGGAGGAGGAGGAGGAGGAGAAGAAGAAGAAGAAGGAGGAGGAGGAGGAGGACGAACTTTAAGCGTGCTGGTGAGACGCTCATAATGGTGCCGCCTCAATTATAAGAGACCTGATCTAAAAGTCTTAATCGACGTCATACTTTGCCATAGGATGTCGTACCTCCTCCAGTCATGACGTGAGAGCCTGGTATCTAGTGGCACGGTCTTCTATGTCCTGACGGCGGGAGACTGTTCTTTTCTCACACACACACACACACACACACACATATACACGGGTAGTTGATGAACCGAAGCCAATAGACGCTTGAATATGACAGACTTTCTTGAGGTCCCACGACGGGTAACAAGCGGGACTGGGTGTAGGGGAGGTTGGGTGTAGGGAGAGGCTGGGTGTAGGGGAGCCCGGGTGTAGGGGAGGCTGGGTGTAGGAGAGGCTGGGGTGTAGGGGAGGCTGGGTGTAGGGGAGGCTGGGTAGGGGAGGCCGGGTGTAGGAGAGGCTGGGTGTAGGGGAGGCTGGGTGAGGAGAGGCTGGGTGGGGGAGGCTGGGTGTGAGGAGAGACCGGGTAGGGGAGGCTGGGTGTAGGAGAGGCTGGGTGGGGGGAGGCTGGGTGTAGGGGAGGCTGGGTGTAGGAGAGGCTGGGTGGGGGAGACCGGGTGTAGGGGAGGCTGGGTGTAGAGGAGGCGTGTAGGGGAGGCCGGGTGTAGGAGAGGCTGGGTGCAGGGGAGGCTGGGTGGGGAGGCCGGGTAGGAGAGGCTGGGTGTAGGGGAGGCTGGGTGTAGGAGAGGCTGGGTGTAGGGGAGACCGGGTGTAGCTGCTGTGGATGGCGAGGCTCTTACCTTATCCTGTTGGTGGTGATGCTGCACTTCTGCACACCTCACCCTGCTGCACATTACACCCTGCTGCACACCTCACCCTGCTGCACACCACACCCTGCTGCACATCTCACCTGCTGCACACTTTCCTGCTGTACATCTCACCCTGCTGCACACCCCCTGCTGCACACCCTGGCCCTGCTGCACACCTCTCCCTGTCGCACACCCTCGACCTGCTGCACACCTTACCCTGCTGCACACTTCACAACCTCTGTCGAAGTAACAGTAACTGGATTTAACCGGATTTATTAATAATTTAAAATAAGATTTAGGATTTATGGAATGACCAGAAGTTAAGACACCCCAGCATATTTCACCTTAAGAATCACCCTAACGCTAACTGGAAGGGTTATGTTAGGTTTGTTAGCTACGGTGGCTAATCTAAGTGAAATAAGCTGGGTGTCTAATATTCAGGTGAAGTAAGCTGAGGTGTCTAATATTCAGGTGAAATAAGCTGTATCTAATCTTTAAGTTGTCCAGTGACTTACGAACATAAAAGTGAAAATTCACAGTTGAAAAATACTTGTAATAAACCAGTAACATTCATCTATCATCACGTGTCAGAGTTGATGATAGACTTAGTAGTGAATGTTCAACCTATAATTTCTTCTGCTATGATTCGCAAACTGATCGTGTCTGTGATAAGATACGGTAATGTGTGTGTGTGTGTTGCCTCTTTTGATGAACGATAACATACGGGAATTTTTCACTACTGGCGCCACACTATTCCTGGTTACTAATGTGTCTCGTTGTATTTTTCTCTTGTTTCGTTATTTCCTTCGATCTAAGTCAGTTTGATAAAACTGTGGTAGCCATTAGCCCAGGTTGCAGCACTTTCCATCTCTTGCCGCCCTAGTTAACACAGGGTGGCGGGAAGTCTCTACTGTTTTTCTCCTGCGCTTTTGACTTTTCCCGCGTTTTCCGGTGACTGATTTGCTTCATGGTCTTAAGGAAACTCCCAAATCAATAGCCAGTTATCATCAGTGTTTTCATTATTTTCTGGTTATTTATCCAATCACTTTTATTAATGTCCATATTTTAACCCATATTCCGCGATGTTAATTCTTATAAGGTATACATTTTACGTCATAATGTATACAGTCATGAATAAAAGTGCGTGTTTACAACTATGTATACCGTTGTTTGGTTGGTAGTCTGTGTTGAATCCTGAACCCAAAATATAACCCAGGGCAGCAGATAATATTAAGCACTTTTTAAACTTGGAAGCTGAAATTTGGACAATAGCAAACATGTGTTTTCATTTAGTTTTGACTCATAGTTTGTTTTATAGGTGTTTTATTTTGGTTTATTCCCCATTCTTATTTTGGCTTATCTCATTCTTTATTTTGGTTTATTCCCTGCAATTTTTAATTTGGTTTATTCCTCATTCTTTATTTTGGTTTATTCCCCGTACTTATTTGGTTTATTCCTCATTCTTTATTTTGGTTTATTCCCCGTACTTTAATTTGGTTTATTCCCCGTACTTTTATTTGGTTTATTCTCTGTCTTTTTAATTTGGTTTATTCCCCCATGTTTTAGTATTGTTTAATTATATCCCTATCCCTGGCTGTGACGTAACTAACTAGGCAAACAGTTTAAAATTGGGATTTACTTATGTATAGCCTGGTATAACTGTATGTATAACCATGTATACACTGTACAGTATGTCCATATTGTAGATTTGAATATAGGGCAATGATATAGTCCTTGTATATATGTATGTATAATATAGCCTTATATTTTCGTCTATAAAATTGATGTGTTCTGCTTAGGTATTTCCTGTCCACAATAAGACCCCCCAATGTCCTAAACTAATCTACCTGGCCTTACCTTACCTGGCGTTACTTACCTTACCTTACCTTACCTTACCTTACCTTTACCTTACCTCACCTGACCTTACCTTTACCTGACCTTACCTTTTATTAACTCCACACTGTTTTCTTTTTTTTCTTCCTCTTTACTTTTTGGTTATAGTAACTTTTCTTTTCTCTTCCTTGTTTAACTTTATTTAATTATTTTCTTTCGTTTTCTTTTCTTTTCTCTTTTTCTCTCTCTATGTTTATATATTTGCTTTATTTTCTTTTGTCTTCTGCACTTTCACTTTCTGTTGGTCTTCTTCTCTTCTGTTTAATTTTCTTTTAAGCTTATCTCTTTGTCTCACACTTTCTTCACAGTGTAATTATCTCCTTCCTGTTGCATTCTTCGCTTTTCTCTTATGATGATTTGTTGTGACCTCTCTTCCTACCTCGCTTTCTTCCCTTTCTCCTATGTTTTATTCTCTTTCCTCCTACCCTCCCTCTCTTCCTCAATTTATCCTCTACTCCTTCCCTTCCCCCTTTTATCTTTTCTTCCTCTACTCCCTCCGTTTACTCCCTCCATCCTCATCCTCTCCCTTCTTCCCTCCTCCCTCCTCTTCCCCTCTCAATCTTCATTTCTCCATCACTATCCTCCCTCCTCATCAATCCTCTTATCCCTCTTCCCTCCATTCTCACCTCCTCCCTCTCATCATCCATCTCCTCCACCCCCAGCCTCTTAACTCCCTCTTCCCTCTCACTCCCTCCCCTCCTCGGCACCAAAGCCAATGTTAGACACCAAATATTCCAAAGTTAAAATTCCCACCGTAAGTGAAGACGAGTTAATACCTTCTGACAGTCATCCTCAAACCACAGTACAAAGGCTGACAAACCATGATGGCGCCGAAATTGCATTGAGACTCT